TTTTTTTTTTCCTTGGTGTCTGGCATAGCTTCATAAACAAGTGGGTCCACCTAATAAAACGGAAATCTGTATTTGTCTGTAGATAAAACTGAAAACTGAATGAAATATTGTGTTACATTTTTTTTTTATGACAGTTATTTCTGTTTTTCTTTTTTTTTCTTTTTTTTTTTTTTTTTTTTTTTTTTTTTTTTTTTTTTGTTTTTTTTTTTTTTTTTTTTTTTTTTTTTTTTTTTTTTTTTTTTTTTTTTTTTTTTTTGTGATTTCGCCATATTGTGCCATGTTGTTAGTGGTAAAATAAAATAATGATAGGAATATGACGGTGGTGTGGGAGGGGGGGGAGATAGCTTTTCCAACTGAAATCTATTACAGTGTTGACGCAGCTTAACATTTCATCTGATGGTATGCCATGTTCAGTTCTTATTGTTTTCACTAGTGAGCTGCAAGGTTGCTGTTTTTTACAACTCGGGAGCACATCGTGTTGTGATTTTATATTTGCATAGTGCAGACCGGGACTGTGATTAGCAAGCAGAGTTGTTGGATTCAAGTATGGCAGTTCCATCTTAAGGGTTAATAAAAAAAATGATTTGGAAGTAGAATGGAAGAAAAAAATTAAGTTTCCATTATATTTTATCCACAATGGAAATCCACCAGTGGGTCAAATAAATATCGCTGTGCTCCAAATCCAAAGTTTTTTTTCTAAATTATTCCCGGGTTCCCCCAATATCGGGGGGGGGGGGGGGTTCCGTAATGGTCTGGTAGTATATAGTTGTAGACCAGGTAATCTGTCTGGTAGTATATAGTTGTAGACCAGGTAATCGGTCTGGTAGTATATAGTTGTAGACCAGGTAATCGGTCCGATAGTATATAGTTGTAGACCAGGTAATCGGCCTGGTAGTATATAGTTGTAGACCAGGTAATCGTATGACTCATTTTCCTGTCCTGGACAAGATCTTTAGCATCTATGATGGTTAGTTTAACTGGTAAAATTTGGGGATCCCCATGTTGTGCCCTTAGCATGGGGACAGTATGACTTTCTAAGATTATCTATTTTTCCTGGGTCTTTTCCCCTTGTCCTTCCAATGAACCCTAGCCATGATTTGTTTGTTTACCACCTTGACAGTTATCTCCCCTGGACTTGCTGTGTACTTAAAGGAGCTGATACTTCTCTGAAGTGCCTGAATCAATGGTTTACCCCTTTCCTTTAATGTAAGCCAGCACTAACCTAGTTTGATCATTGTAGTCCCAGCACTGGACATTGTAGACCCAGCACCATCATAGTTTGAACATTGTAGACCCAGCACCATCATAGTTTGAACATTGTAGACCCAGCACCATCATAGTTTGAACATTGTAGACCTAGCACCAACATAGTTTGAACATAGTAGACCCAGCACCATCATAGTTTGAACATTGTAGACCCAGCACATCATAGTTTGAACATTGTAGACCCAGCACCATCATAGTTTGAACATTGTAGACCCAGCACCAACATAGTTTGAACATGGTAGACCCGGCACCAACATAGTTTGAACATTGTAGACCCAGCATCATCATAGTTTGAACATTGTAGACCCAGCACCATCATAGTTTGAACATAGTAGACCAAGAATTTGATGGCTGAATCAAGCAGTAGCACTGCATGGAAGTGATTTTTGTCCAATATTTTGTTTTCACTCAATGATCTCAAGTGTTGAACAATGTGATTTGATTAAAACTCAGGCCAGGCAACTGGGTTTGGGAGAATGACTGAATCAAGGAAAAGAAACCAGTGCTGGTAATTCCTTTATATACCAGAAGAAACATCTCTAATACCATCAGAGATGGTTTGAACTCCATGGTCACAATATAAAATCCATACAAAAATGCTGCCAGCATTCAAACACCTCTCCTTTAAAAAAAATCATGTCTCTGCCATTGTATACCAATATCATTATAGCAATGTCATTGGAAACCAATTTCATTATAGCAATATCCTAATAAACCTTTCACTTTGCTCCCCAATAGATTTCAGCCTTAAGTTTGACTAATAAGTTCACACTGGCTAGAGAAGAAAACCACCAACCAACGACTGGTGTGTGCTTCCCTGTCCGTCAGTCTGTATGTTTATGTGCTTTTGTTTCCCTTCATCCCTCCTGTTACCTCCATTGATTGTTAGGGCTCACCTGTCACAGCGTACAAGGCTTCCCCAACACCATAAACCTGCAGCTTTACACAGGTTATGTTTTAACCAGCAAGGTCGGGGCCACTCGGATCCATTTTATAACTTTAAACCCACCCACCCCTCGAGAAGACAAAGTTCCTCCGAATCCGCGCCCCCCCCCCCCTCCTTGGGAAGAATTATGTTTTCCCGACACGTTCTCAACCAGTTCTAATTATATCAGTATGGTTCAATGATCCTTTCCTTGTATTTATCGTATCGATTGATTTTTGTCACATGTTCCTTGGTGTGTTAACACTTTGTCCCTTTATGGTTGTTAGGAAAGTGCTCACCTTCGTCTAAGAAAAGCCTCTGTTAGTTTCATGAACTTGCTGTGCTCTGATGTGGATTAAAATAATAATTAAAATTATTCAAAATTGTTTTTTGCTATCAGTTGATTTTTCCATTGGTTACGTGTTGATTTTTTATTTCCATTAGCTCTCTAGTCTAATCAAATATGTTATAGATTATAATTGTACACTTTACTTCTTTTCAGATTCATTTATAAAGAAATATCTAAAGGTGACATGCAGCAAGTTTTGTTTTCATAAAAACTGTTTCATCTGGAAAGTCATTTCATAACTTGTAAGTAGCCTACCTGTGGACAGTAAAGTACAACTTTTTAAAAAGCTTTTCAAGAACACATTTTTTCCTCCAAATTTATTGAGTGATGTAGTAATAAAGGAAAAGGTACAATTGCAACTTTACTGATTGGATGAGATAAAATCCTGTTTTTTTTATTATTCATAAAATTTATTTATAAATTAGAAAGTTAAATATTGGGCTACTGTGCTGTTCAATTGAAAGCAAACATAATTTGGTATGTCTTGAGTCATTAAAAATCTTAAATATTATGCACTTACTAAATTAAGATGTCACTTAAACAGTGTGCTCAGTTCAGTTGACATGCTTGTTTGATTGCAAGGTATTTTATAATGTTATACTATTTTATTCCTCATCTGCTTACTGAATGTCTAGGGACAATGCTTCTTTATCAGTTCATTCTTTTAAAGCTGTCGGCAGGATTTGGTTTTTATTCCACCGATCTTAAATTCTTAAATTGTTTTGCGGCAGGCTTTTTTAGGTCTTCCGTGATGTTGGTTTTTTTTCATCAGGGTACTGTCACAGGAAATGAGCTCGCGTAGTATTTTCCTTACTTGACTAAGCCATTTCCTGCAAGATCCCTTTACGAGTTCTGGAATGGGCGACACTCCTCATGGCTGTCTCAGTTTTTCATTGAAGATTGCCTTTAGCCAGAAGATTCCATAGATTCTTTGTTGGCCTTGTATCTGTAAAACATTAAACTTACATTCTGATGTGCAAGTGGTCTCCCCAGAATTCTGAAAAATGGATGAAAGCACTCAAGACATTTCTTTAAAAGATTTTGATCTTGGTGTGGAATGTTCAGATCAGTAGATCTTTATATGAATCTCAGCTTTCTTTATCCTTGATTAGATTAGCTCATCCACCAGCTGTCGTGACTTCACTCTCTGGTCAAACAATGTTTTCTCGGATGTAATGAATACAAAACTGGAATGTTATTTTTTTCTCAACATTTCTGACAACACACTTGCAAAATCATAACATTAAATTTAAATAAAATTCCTTGATTGGGGTGAGTGCCAAATTCAGACTTTGCCATGGGTTCCAGTCCCAATAATTTTGTTTGTGTGGCCCCACTTAACAGATTTGATCAGCCATTACATGACACACACCAATTTGTCAATATCCTTGATAATGTGTTGTGAGATGCCTAGTAACGTTTAATGGTAAAATAGATTTGATCCAGGGCCCCGTATGTTCACACTGTGCTCACAGGAGGGAGATAAGATGTATTCCTCAAGCCGTAATAGGTTATTGATATTTTATTGGTGCAACACATGAACACTGGTCTTGTTAGTATGGAGCTCAGGCCTACGGAATACATTTTCATTCTGAGCTTATATTTATACTGTCTTGCACAAACATACGTTTATATCATTTCTATGTGATCAAAGTTTATCCAGGCCCGTATAATTTAAATTTGTTACATGAATGAGTGATGTGTTTGGAATTAAAATAAAACTTTACTAAATATTTAAACCGATGTACGTGCGGGTGCAAATAACTTGTTAGCTCAGGCGACCGTCTGATTGTCCTTTGGCTTTCTCCCAAACAAGGCGTTTTTATTCCATGTATGTGAATCTTTAAAGGCTAGCTCCGCATCAATATTTCATGGATCAAATCTTATTGTGAGTTCATAGAATACAGTTAAGAAATGGTATTAAATCATGCCTGGTACTTACCAAGTCCAAAGAATTATTTGATCTGTGACACTAATGGAAATAAAATGAATCCATTCAAAAACAAGTTTTGTTGTCTAGTTCATCAAATCTGTATCATTTAAAAAAATATTTTAAAATTTAAATAAATCTCAACAATTTTATTTTTTTACTTTCAGAAAATTTTGACAACAAATTTTTTCCTAGTTTAAAAAAATAAGAAAATGTGAAGTATTGTTTTTAAAACTATAAGGGATGATGTTTTTAATGAATATGCTTGCGTTGGTTGAATGGTTGGATTTTTTAAATTCATAAATATATTTGAAATTTTAAAAATAAATTTTTCCTTTACCAGGGTTTGTTTATTTTCCAACTTTAGTCCTTCTCATCTGCTCATGTTGAATGCTCAGCTCGGCCAATTATCAGGAATACCATTTTTGGTGGAGACTTTCAGCTTAACAGATGTCCACACCTACTCAGCAGGGGACATTAGGAGATGCAGCAGCAGCAACACCACCACCAACGGCAAAAACAACGGCCAACACCAAGACTGAAGTGCACACTAAAGATAGTAAAAGGGCAACGCCAGATGGCATCGGTGCACAGAAGCAAGCAGCTGAGGTCAACGGGCTCCCGGGCAGCATTGGGTCACAGCTGGTTATACCTCAACCCTACCTCCACTACCTCCAGTTACACCAGCAGCTCCTTCAACAGCAGCAGCAGCAACAACAAGAGCTGGTATCAGTTATGGCGCTTGGGATTCAGCCGGTTAGTTTTTAGTTATCCTTCATTACCACTGTGAACAGATTTAGAGCACACCCCTTCCATTATATGGGCCTTAAGCTGATAACATATTTTAAATATAATTTGTGGGATCTGTCTGGCAATGATAACATTGTCTTCCTCACAACCAAAAAGGTAGTTAATTCAAAATCATCTTGGGTTGTTCCCAGCTGTGGGAAAATTGCCTAATAATTGGAATGCACTCATCAGCCCAGTAAGGCAAGAAAGACTTTTTTTTTTGGGGGGTGAGGAAAAGTGGGGCCCTACCCCACCTGTGATGTAATCTTTCTGGAAGCTGACAAGGGCAAAAATATTGAAGCACTGAAGCCATCTGAGTAAAAAACATGGCCAGTACACACAATAGCTGCAGTCTTACCAGACAACTGAAGCTGCCAGAGATATTTTTAAATAGAGGTGTCCATGGTGCAGAGATGTCCAGTAGCCCCTGAAAGGTATCCAGTATAAAGACATCTTTACACAAGACATCCTCATTTTCATGGCATGCTTTTAAAAAAATGTCCCCAGTCAACAGCAGAGTTGTAGAAGTTTTGTTTTAAGAAATCAAAGAATTATGCTGAGCACCTGAGAAAATGTTTAAGGCATTGTGTGGGTGTGAAGAATTCCTAGTTCTGCCACCATTCACAACTCACTCAGCTCCCACAATATGTGCAGAGCCATTGGATCTACCACTGTGACCAGCACAAGAGGTTACCAGGTATTATCACCTGTTTCTTCCTCACCTCATTTAACGGACGAGGCTGGCGCCCTGGGAAAGTTGGCTGTGGCCTTATCCTCTGGTTTGATGTGAAATCAAAGAATTATGCTGAGCACCTGAGAAAATGTTTAAGGCATTGTGTGGGTGTGAAGAATTCCTAGTTCTGCCACCATTCACAACTCACTCAGCTCCCACAATATGTGCAGAGCCATTGGATCTACCACTGTGACCAGCACAAGAGGTTACCAGGTATTATCACCTGTTTCTTCCTCACCTCATTTAACGGACGAGGCTGGCGCCCTGGGAAAGTTGGCTGTGGCCTTATCCTCTGGTTTGATGTGATCCCCTCTGTCATTTAGAGCTTAAAACAACCCCAGTCTCATGTTGGCCGAACCCCAGTGGTGGTTGGGGAGGTTTTTCTTTCACAGCAGCAATTCTAAAGAATATGGTCCCGCCCCTCCCCCTTCCCCCATTATGTGATTGTCTAACTACAAGGACCTCCTTACTTCTCCCATCACTGTCTGTTAAATATCTGATCAGATAATACTAGAAAATGAACAAGTTTTAATCTTGATGAGAAGAAGTTCAGGTTGAAACCGGTATATCTCAATATGAAAAATTGTATTGATTAATCTAGATTACACATTTTTACTGTTGAACTTGTTCCAGAAAACGCAAATACAGGTCCAACTGCATATTTTCAAGAACGTTTTGACACAGACCAAACCAGTCATATCTCAATGGCCCATCTTTGATTCCTTCTCTAAAATTCTATAAAACTATTGTGCTCAGTGTCCCGTCACAGTAAGTGAGTTTTATGACAATGTTGCTTATCTCACTTCACCAGCTGTTCACCCTAGCTCTGCTCGAGTGACTGCCATGATATTGGCCACCATTCTTAGGAGATAAGCAGCAGCAGATGTCCTCATGAATCGCTTGACAATAACTCCCACTAATCTTAAGTTTTCGTGACTCGCTAACAGCAAAGAAAGTCATTGCTCTAAATATTCGCATTTGGAAGCTACCGTTGAACTCAGTTTATTCAAACATGTTACTCATCTCAATTTGGGTGTCCTAATTTTTCTTTGATATTTTTAGGCCAGTGAATCTAAAGACGGAGAGGGCACAGCCTCACTGACCTCCACTCCCGGTGGTCTAAGTGGTGGAGGTGGGAGTGGCGGTGGGGGGGAGGATTGCAGTGATGACAGCTTTGACCTGGATGACAACAGTTATGCAGATGATGATGGCTCAGACTCGACTAAGAAGGAAGGAAAGGGACGGATTCGACACTCCGGTAGTAAGGATCATTTTATCTCCATTGTTCTCAGATCAGGATAAGATGGTGGCTAATGGCTTAGCTAAACCCAGTTCATTCAATCCACTCCTGCGTAGATTATCAGACAGATTTTCATAAAATATAAAAAAGATATGGTCCTAAGGATGGAGGTTAGTAATTTAATCTCTTCAGAAAAACAAAGTAAGTTCAAATGCTCAGGCATATGTTAGGGTTTACACTTATGTCCAAGGATTGTTAGAGGTCCCTGGACTTTATCAGACTACGAATGGTTTTTAAAAATTTAAAAGCTCTTAGCAATGCCTTCCCCTGCCCCGTTGCCCACCTTGCTTAGTAAAAATTAACATCTTGAAATCAGACAGATTTTCATAACATATAAAAAAAGATATGGTCCTAAGGATGGAGGTTAGTAATTTAATCTCTTCTGAAAAACAAAGTCAGTTCAAATGCTCAGGCATACTTAGGGTTTACACTTATGTCCAAATGATTGTTAGAGGTCCCTAGACTTTATCAGACTACGAATGGTTTTTAAAAATTTAAAAGCTCTTAGCAATGCCACACCCCCCCCCCCCACACCCCCTTCCCCCGCCCCGTTGACCGCCTTGCTTAGTAAAAATTAACATCTTATTTTTAAAAATTAAAAGCCCTTTGCAAAGCCCCCCCCCCCCCCCCCACACCCCCTTCCCCCGCCCCGTTGACCGCCTTGCTTAGTAAAAATTAACATCTTGAAATCTAAAGAAGATTGATTCCACCAACAGTTTTATGATATTTTGAACTAAACTTGCTACTGTCAGGGATTAACATCTCAAATTCCACATTGTCCAGGTGGCAGAAACATCAATCAGTATGGCAGAGAATTCACCAATGGCAGGCCCCTGCCTGACCACCTGAGAGTTCAGATTTTACAGCTGGCCCTTCAAGGCATCCGTCCCTGTGAGATCAGTAGACAACTACAGGTGTCGCATGGCTGTGTCAGTAAGATACTCAATAGGTGAGAATACAGGAGAGTTCGCCTTAACACCAGTTGTATGTTCCCCCCTTCCAATATGTATGTTTCTCACCTCCAGCAGTTATATATTTCCCCCCCCCCCCAATGTATATGTTGCCTCACCCCCGGTTGTATGTCGTCCCCAATCTGTATGTTGCCTCACCCCCAGTTGTATGTCGTCCCCAATCTGTATGTTGCCTCACCCCTAGATGTATGTCATCCCCAATGTGTATGTTGCCATAACCCCAGATGTATGTCATCCCCAATGTGTATGTTGCCATAACCCCAGTTGTACGTGATCCCCAATGTGTATGTTGCGTCATCACCAGTTATGTATCGTCCCTACCCGTGTGTATGTTGCCATAACCCCAATTTGTATTTGTCCCAAATGTGTCTGGTTCAATGTAATCCAGGACCCCATTTTAAAGAAGCACAGCAACTTACAACACAAATACATATGAAAAAAAAGTCTTTTTATAGGGTTAAAGAATACACATTAAAAATTACACTTCAGTATAATATAGTGCAATCCTGTTTAAATAGATTGTTGAAAACCCAATCTCCTAGAGATGTGTAATAAACACTATTCAGATGTGATTCAAACTTGAAGACAGCTATTAAAAATGAAAAATTTCTTTTTTTTTTAATAGAGTTACAGAGTGAAATTATCCATAAAGTTTTTGGAGTGTTTTAGGGATGATGTTCCAAATAACAAACCATGAATCAATTTTGAGAACAAAATCATACAAATTAATTAATTAACTTTGTTTCATGTGTTGTGTCCTCAGATACCGTAAAACTGGTAGCATCAACCCAGGTCAGATTGGGGGCAGCAAGCCTAAGGTAACCACCCCAGATGTTGTCAGTATGGTCAAACAATACAAGATGGACAATCCTCAAATGTTTGCATGGGAAATCAGGCAGAAGTAAGTCCATTTTAGTTGTTATTTAAATCATTTAAGTAAACTTCCCTTTTGTGTGTTTATGGCAAAATCTTCAGATGGCTAATTGGCCCACTTCCCTTCAAGCTATCAATCTGAAACTTGACACATAGCCTTGTTGCCAATGACAACACATTCTTTCAAATTTTCAGCCCTAACCCCGAAAAATCATTTTTTCACAGGAAGATGAAGGAAATCTGACGATACTGGTTACCCAAAATAGCATTCCCGAAAACTGCACTAAATGAAATTCTTTTTTAAAAAATAAATCGCAAATGCATTTGGTTTTATATGTTCATTTCTTTTTCTGAAATGGTCGGTAAAATAAATATGCATTGTAAAATCAAGTGGGACATTAGAATATTGATATAAAAATAAAAATTGTATACAAATAACTTATAATAAAAACTTTATTTTTAGGGGTGGTTTAATTTTTAAAAACCCAACCATTTGCCAGTTTCAAGTCTCTTCAATATATAAGATGGCAATGTGTGAAACGCAAAGACATTTTCTGCATGTAGTTAATTGTAATTTGTTTAAAAGTAGTTTTGTCAAATTGCTATTTCTTTGCTGTTTTCCAAAATAATAAATGAGGATGACAATATTAAAAATATATATAAATATATGCAAAAAGAGAGCTGTATTATTCAGCTTTTCGGTACCATATCTCCACATGGTATGAATCAAATACTCTCTTACTAACATTCCCCAATTTCCCTGTATTTCTTCTTTTTTTTTCTTCTGACTTAGATTATATGTATCCCTTATTCTTATTTTTCACAGTACTGCCAACAAAAGTTGTTGTTTTTTTTTACTGTGATCTGATACTTGTCATACTTCTTTTAGTCTTATTTTCTGATGAAGGCTCGAATCTGAAACGTCAAAATCGTTTGTCCTGTTCATGGCTTCAAGTTTTGGCACACCTTGTTCTTATGTGTATTAGTTAAAGATGATTTTTCTGGATTTTTCATGTTCCCCCCATTTCCTATAACACATGATTTCTGTCTGCCACAGACTGCTGCAGGATAATGTGTGTTCAGAGAAAAACATACCCAGTATATCATCCATTAATCGAATCATTCGGGACAAGACTCTGACTCATCGCAGGGGTTACGATGTGGGAGGAGATGGAGATGAGGTAAGAACGCGAAACCTTTGAGAAAGCAATGGAGGCCTTGTGTTTAATATTCAGCAGTCATAACCAATTTTTTGTTTAAACAAAATTTTCTTCTTCACATTTAACAAGATAAACATACTTTACAACCCTCAAGTATATCTTGAATACTCTTACTTTTAAAAGTGTTTACATTTTAAAGCAGTCTGTCTATCCAGACTTCCTTACAGAGTACCACTCAATCGGTTGACTTCTTTTGTATGTTTTTGTGCAATAGTCAGGCAGAATATCTGAAATTTAACCTACTGTGATGCCTTGATATAAAACATACAAATTTGACATATACTTCTCATCAACAGATGGACGAACTAGGCCTAGATGCTGAGGCCATGCAAAGATACATCGCCACAATGCCACACATGACGGTGGACATGTCAACATCACCCCCTAACTCCACCCATAGCCCCAAGCCAGACTCACAGCCCAGGTCAGCCTTTGCTGAAATATCTAGGCCACCGGGTGCTGCGGTGGAGAAACCTCCAAAACCAAGTTTGGAGGACTCCACAAAGTTGGTGCAGGCTGATGAACCATCGGTTGGCACCAGCCCAACATTGTCTGACATCCAGGCCAAGTCATCTGTTGATTCTAGTCAAAACGTATCATTAATCTCAACAGTGAAAGAGGAGAAGCGAAACGCTGCAGTATTATCTGTCATAGGCGCACCCTCGGGTGTGTGTGTTGGTTGTGATGGCAGCAGGTCGAGCGACGGTGATGGGGTCAGTGTAAAACAGGAGATGGAGGAGACCGCCAACAATAGAGGTTGTGCTGCTGATGAGGATAAGGAGGTCATGGTTCTGACTTTGGGAAAAAAGGATTTTAGCCCCGGGAAGGACCATTCAGAAGGTGAGGGCGGATATAGCAACGGCTGTGACGGTGAAATGCCGGGGAAAAAATCGGGTCACTCTGTTGGTGAAACAGTGGTGAAGAAATCAGGCCAGTCTGTTGGTGAAACATTGGTGAAGAAATCTAAATCTGAAAACTCCAGGCCAAGTCTCAATGATGTCATATCTAATTTGTCCCATGGTGCTGCAATGTTGAACGAGTCATCTCCACCGTCATCCTCCGTAGTGTCATCTCCCCTCACGGCTTCATCCTTGTTGTGGAATAAATTATCATCCAAGGCATCTGTGGCAGAAAGTTGCGGCCAGGGAGATGCCAAGTCTGGTGAGGAGAAATCCAACACTTTGGGTATTCAGAAACCCAGTTGGTTCACCATGCCAGTGGACAAGACCAGTGGTAGTGGGAACATCACCACGTCTCTTTCCATCTCATGTCCTTCAACTGTAGCCAGCACTGAGCAAACACCTCCCGCTACAGCGGCAGTGCCTGTTTCCAGTGGTGGAACAGCTCATCACCCCTCTACACGACGCCGGGGAAGGAAGTCGGCAACTGCGTCCAGGGAAGGCTGGAGCCCTTCATCATCATCGTCGGCAACATCCACTACAAATCGCAGTGCGGCCGGGGGGAATAAGACTTCCACCTCTGCCCCCTCCACCCCTTACACCAACTCACGCCCTCCACAAGTTGCTGCCGCCGCCGCCCCCAACGCCTCGTTATTCCCACTCACTTACAACCCCATCCTGTCTCCAGTTTATGATTACAATCTCCCAGACCGCGGCCTGTCATCAGCCACAGCCTCACTCATGGCACCCAATCCCCGTTTTGCGCCACCGCACCTGTCCGGAGCCCAACCCTTCATGATGAGCTACTTCCCCCTACAGCCGATGTGGGGTGGAGCAGGGACGGTGGCCATAGCAGCGGCCGCCAACATGAGTATCCCAACCCCTCTGGATTTATCCTCGCCCAACAAGGACAGCAAAGTTAAGTCTGAGCCAACAGAGAAAAACAACATTGAGAAAACAGCACCTGTCAAGGAGACCCCTAAAAAATCCCCCCCAGCCAGCCAACAGCCAGTCTCTGCACCAACTGGTCACACCAATCACACTGCCAAGGAATCTAACAGAAGAGGTTTGAGAGGAAGTCAGAGCAAAGCTAGTAAAATCCTTAGCAGGGCTTTAAGTGAAAAAATCCCAGTCAGGGCAACTGAGAAAGAGGTGGATGGCCTCAAGAAAGACATTGAGAGCTCTCTGAAAGAAACATATCCTGATTTTTTGTCAAAGTCGCAAGACACCAACATATCCAAGGCCAGATATGAGAAGAATCTCCTGCTGTTTGGTGATCAGGAGATAGAGATAATGTCTGTTGGCAAACTGAGGTGGGTGGTCAGAAATGAAGCTGACCTCCTGAGGATTGCCCAGGCCAACCTTAAGAAGTCTAGTCCTGTGTGTGATTCTGCTACACTTATTTTGGAGGCCAACTCCTCAACAGAGTCTGCCATGTATGGGGAAAAGAACGGCAGGGACCGTTCTGACTGCCCAGTCTCCAGTTCAGTGAGACGAGAAGATGGGGACCAGGATGATGGTTCTTCAGTCATGTCTGTCATGGATGGACATTCTTCTCCGAGGAAATCTGTCCGAACGGCTGACCTCCAGGACTCTGATTACTGCCCGCCTGCAAGCAAATGTGCTAAGCTGGACAAGGGTTGCCTTCTTTTTGGATCCAAAGATTTAGTCAAAACTAAGCTGACCAATGGTAAACCAGAGAGTGATAAAACTGAGTCCTGTCCAGCTGTCAGTCTACCCAATTTCCTCCTTGATTCTGTTGTGACAGACTCAAGCTCCGTCAGTCATTCACTGTCATCATCACTGTCATCCTCCTTGCTGCTGTCATCACTAGCTGATAAATCTCCCAGTATTGTCAAGCCATCTTCATCCACACCATTGTCTCCTCCATTGTCTGTCTGCCTCAAGCAGAAACACCAAGACCTGTTGTCCGAGGGGTTGGACAAATCTACCGGTGCTGCCACACCTCCAGTGACGACCGGCTGTTCCAGCACTGAACATCACAAGGCTAAAGTTGAAGCAGATTCCCATGAAGCCAAGCACAGTGTTTCTTCTAAGTGTTCATCTGCTTGTATGGATGGTGGCTGTGCCCACAGTGGAAAGTCATTGACTTCGGCCAGTCTCACAATCGACGATGAGGCTTTATCCAAAGAGTATTCTCTGTTGTCGAGCATGCTGAAATCAGCACACTGATATTTTTGAGTGTGTTTATAGCTTTCAAGACCATTTTTTAAAAAAAGATATTGAATTTAATTATTCATTTGATGGTTGTAAAAGAAAAAAAGACCTTACTTTGGACATATAAATATTTTGTTCAGTGGGTATTGTTTAAGTAATGTTTTGGTTCACACAGTAAAAGGAGATGTTAAGTAAACTCCTGTTCAAGAACTAACTATTTTCCTCATGAAGTCACCAAACAGAATGCTTTGTTGAAGAAAAAACCCATCTCGAATGTGGTTTGGTGATTGGAGTACCGTACAAGCTGAGATGAACTGATTGTTATGCCATAAATATAAATATATATTATATCAAACTTCACACACACACACACACCATAAGTTTGTTGATAGTCATTGTTACTTTATTTTTTTAAATACTTGTGAGAAATACTAGTCTAATGAAATCCTGTGACATATGTAAACAGATTTATCATACATAATCATATGTATGTATATTATGTGGTTCTTTAATACCAGTTACCAACTTGGGAAGGCAAAAATACCAAATGTATGTGTATTATATATTTAGATAACCTATAAATATTGTGGTGATGTCAGTAATATTAGTTAATCATATTATTTATGTGTATATAATAAATATATATATTTGTTGCCATTATTATACATAAAATATATATTTTAAAAAAACATCCAAAAGTTGATAATAGAACCAGGGTTGCCCCATTCATTCACTTGGGTCCTCGGCAATGTCCCATGGACAATTTAATGTCCTCAGCTATGTGGACAATTTTATGTCCTCGGCTATGTGGGCAATTTTATATCCTCAACTATGAACAGACCTCATTAAATTGAAAAATCATTCATTTATTTTAATGGAGTCCACATGGGCCATAGTAATAAAAAATGTAAGAAATGCTGAATTCATATAAATGAGTCCCTCAACAATGAATCTGAAATTGAGAAGATTTTTGTTTAATGAAGAGAAACATATTTTACTATAAACCAAACGCCTCTTATTTTATATATCATATCACTTTTGACTTATGCTAATAAGATTTTAAACAATCACTTTTCAAAATCTCTGAGGACAACATATTTCCTAGACATTTTTTTTTCTTAAACTTAAAAATTATACCAGAAATTCTGTTTCTCTATTGTTAGTTGGACATTTTCAAGCATTATTGAATGTTAACCAGTGGTTAAACTTTTGTTAACGTTTTTGTAAAGCATTTGCAATCAAAATGTACAATCATATACTGCCAGATAGCATTATGAAATAATATTGTTATTGATGTCATCTGAAATATCTTTTTTATAGCACCGATGGCCATATACCAATGTATTTTCCCTCAAGCATTATTTTGTTTCAAACTCCTTGCCGCTGCAGTGTGAGCAATCAAAACATGCATATTTGTTACTAGTATAGAATAGATTGCTTTTTTATCAGTAGGGGAGTGGCTGGATCTTTTGGTTGGTTGTGTAGATAGGGGATAACATCCCATTAAACAATTTTCCAGTAGCTATACCAAGTAAATTTTTATAGTTCTGTACAGCCATGGGTAATCAGGATCTGGCAGTAAGGTGCTGCCTGCCCCCCTTTATTTTTAGCTTTTCACACCAACAGTACTTCAAAGCATTAGTAGTTCCAAAAAAATTGCCTATTTTAGACCATCACATCATATAGTCCCTTACATAGAGTCATATTCTTGCTATTTCCACTTGAGTCATGTTTCTCACCCCACCCCGATATCTCAGCCCTGATTTATAAATATTTTTTTTTCTATACTTCCAAAGTGAATAACTAAGTTATTTTTAGGGAAAGTAAACTACCAGTTGAAAAGGAAGTTTTTATTTGGCATAAAGAATTTAGATCAGTGACATTGGTAGGTAGATAATTTACATCTGTAACATTGCTAGGTAAATGAATTTTTAAAAATTAATTTCTTTAAATGATGCATGGAAGGTCTTGATTTCAAATCCCTAAAAGCATATTTATCATTCAATGAACTTATAACAATCAGCCCCCAAACCATAAAAGAAGTGCCAGTATAATATTTCTCTCATTTATATCATCAATGGAATGTTTATTATATGCTCCTTACATTATAAATTCGAACAGATTACACGTGAAAAAGAAATTATGTTTACCACCTAAGATCCGGGTGATATTTATTGATGGTGTTGTATATTCAAGGCCTTTCTTTACAAAGTTATCAAAGACCAGTAAATACACATAATTTCAGGGGATATGTACGTACGCACTGAGGAAATCTACTTGTCATATTTTTTTTACACAAATCCACCAGACTCCATGTAAATTTAACATTTGGACATTTATATTTCTATGACTGCATTTGTTTACTTACATCTCTGAGACTATTGACAGCAGCGTTTCATGAGAAAGATCTGTTTTGGCCATGCAAACTTTTAAATAAAAATTAATTACTCCTTGATATAAATCTGTTACTGTAGGAACACAAAGTAAATGCATTTATGTGAAGTTCACCACAAAAAATTTTATGGCTGGGTTGCGGAAGTTAAAGCAATAGCAATGGTAAAAAGCATTTGTACTTTGGCTAGACATCTTACTTTGTTGCCAAGGAATGGCGTTGTGGGTAATGTTTCATTTTGCTTCATATTTTGGAGATTGAGACACTTAAAGGTTGTCATGATTAGACCATGTATTATTTTTTTTCTCTGCAAGGCTAAGAGATCCAATAGTTGAATAAAAATGAAGGGGAAAAAATCAATATTGAAAGTATGATAATAGTTTTTATTAAATTTTTAATTCTGACTATTTTAACAAATTTTGTTTGGAAGTTGATTCCGCTTTGAACCAAAGAATTAATGATTTTTTTAAAAGAAGAAAAAATGTGATCAATTTTTTTGTGCTGATATTGAATTTATTGTTTACCTATGACTATTCATGTCACTAATTTGTTAATAGCAAAGAGATATACATTTTTTTAGGCCAAGAATTTCCCATTAAAACTAAGTTAGTTTATTTAAAGGCAAATTTCTCCAAGGACATTTTTCGTGCTGTCTGGTTTTTTAAAATTACTTAATGCCTATTCTTTCATCAATAACGTGAGCTTTAATTGTTATATAAGGTGAATAGGCCAAAATAATTTGATACAGAATATTTCTGTTTCTGTGATTAATTTTAAGAAATGAAACGATACATTTGTTAATGATTTGGACAAAACTTATTTTGCTTTTATTGATATCTAATCATGTATGCTATTTAAGATTTTAAATCAGGGCCTCTTTAAGTATAATACTAAAAAATAAAAGATCTTTGTATGCCAAGGGCAGGACTTGAACTACTTAGATCATCACTATGAAGATCTGCTTCCTTTTAATCTACAAAAAGATTCCAATCTTTATAATGTATCTCTCAATCTTAGGAATTTATTCTTATTCTCCTAACTGCCATTTTATTTTTCATTAACTCTCATTTATAGGTATTGCATAAATTATGAACATTATTTACAAATTTCTAACCCTTCCATGTCCAGATTTTATTTTTTATTCTTCTCTTTTACAAGTAATGGATTTATTGATAGCCTATATAATCTACATTTTGAAGTGAGGATTGTCACATTCTTTTTTTATCTCAAGTTTTTTTTTGAAATGACAAAGACTTCATTTTTGATGTATCAAAATTTGATGTGGTGGTGGTGGGGGTGGGGGGGGGGGGGGGGTTGTAAATTTAAGAATTTTAGGCAGTGAAATTATTATGCTAATATTATTTTTTGTATTTTAGATGATGGGAAAAAGGTCTGTTTTAAATAGGTCAAATTTAACTTTTATCAGATTTGTTAATTTTAAAATTTGTTTATTAGCACAATTAATTTTTTTTCAAAATAAAACAAAGAGCTTATGTATTGCTTTATGAGCAAAAAGGCTTTATCTTCTACACCAAAAAAGGTAGTGAAGCTTATTCCATTCTGCTCTACATGTTTTGCCCTTCTTGCTGAATCAAGGCTGGCACAAACTATACCAAAGATTTCCTTATAGGAAAAGCACATGATACAATTGGTTCATCAATGGCATCATGTATTTCAGTATTTGCTTTTACTGTGTATTTATGTTAGCTGTACATATGGCTTGTGATTCATTTGTGATTTTTTTTTTTTTTTTTTAAGTCTTTTAAAATCTAATTTTTTAAATATTTAAAAATGTTTGTTTTTACTTCAGTAACTGCTACACTGAAGCAGCATTTTTATTTCCAAAGAATTAAGCTCCACAGCCTCTGAGACTATAGTATGCAACAGTTTTTATTGA